CCACCTACAGCCGGTTTAGAATCACCAGTGTACCTGGAGAGAACCTGCACATTCCACATAAAAAGATCTTAGCTGGCTAATCGGTTTGAGCCCAGAACCTTATTGAACTCAGTAGCTCAAAATATAATATGAAAGCAGTTTTCCTTTCTTGATGAGACGTGATCCTTTTCTTTCCTCCAGCGTCATCACCGAGAAAGGTCTATGACACACGGGACGGTGGTCACAGCTCTGTGACACAGATCGACTTTGATGACGACAAGTATCGGCGGCGACCAGCGTTAAGTTGGTTTGCTCAAATACTCAAGTTAGTATTATATGACAGCATTTTGGGACAGAGACTTCTTTATTTGCTGTGACAGAAAATAATATGGGAATGTTCTTGTGATCTTTCCAGGAACCGCACTGGTGGAAAGCGGAGCTCTCTTTCCTGGAAACAGCGCGTCTTCATGCTTCTGCTGGTCGGAGTTCTGGGATTCTTTACGTTGATAATCATCATGGCTAAACTTGGACGCGCGTCGGCTGGCTCAGACCCAAATTTAGATCCTCTTCTTAACCCCAACATCCGTGTGGGGAAAAACTAATGACATGCAGTGACCCCTTCTTTTTCTCATGCGTTACACAACGTATGCCTGTGTAGAAAAAGAGCTGAAACTGGACTACTATTATAGGGTTAGCTCACCAGAGGGTGCTGTTTACCCACTGGGAAGAGGCTGTACTTTATAGTGGAGGCAATCCCTGATTTCTCTCTGTTACACAGGGCCATGGACCTGGGGACGTGACCAAGGCTTGGTGTGTTTTGGCAAAGGATTTGGTAACTGTTGCTTTGATAAAGAGGGGCAGTATTTGTATAATATTTGTCACTGATCTCTATAATTTGATTTTCTCTTTTTTGTTTTTCTTTTTCCTCAAGTTTACTAGAAACTAAACACTGTTGATGTTGAAAGAACATCTTAAGCTGGCAGAAATGCCAGAATGTAACAAAAAAAAGCCACCTTTACCCAGATGTAAACAGATTCCAGTTACAGGTTTGTTTTTGAGGGTTGTGAATCTCTCATTGAGAAAATGTTGCCCTCATAACTGGAGTTGTACCCCACACATAATACACAACTATTTACAAGTGTCTGCATTACTCCTGAAAACTGAATGCTTTGCTTTTAGATTTTCCATACATACCGTGTGTACATTTTTTCCTGATGTTTTTTTGACTGGCCATTAAATAGAAATGCTCCAGAAAGGCAGTATTTTTTATTTTATTTTATGGTGATGTATTCTTCTGCTGTGCGCAACAAAAATCATGCGTGAGCTATGTTTGAAATGCCACTTGTATAGCTTCAGCGGGGATGTTATATTGCACTTTATAGTGTCGTATATCAAACGTATTTATTATCTTATTGCCCAGTTTTAATGAACCTCCTGCTGACTGCTGGCGATGCAGACCAGTGATTTTAAGAGTAAATAAGATCCCACATAAATGACAACATTTCTGGATGATTTCTCCAGCCTTCAAAGAGCAGGAAGAAAGGAAAAAACAACTGCAGGCAGACAGCAGCCTGCAGGAGTGCGTCTTCTCTTCTACAGTATCTCACTGTGACAAAACACTACATATAGAGTACATCTGTTCTAATAAATGGTGACTTTGAAAGGTTTTGGAGTTTGTATCTTATTTCAGTAGGTTTTCATGTTTTTCAATCAGGATATATTTAAAATCATACTTTTTTTTCTTTTTTTTTTTAATTCTTCCACAGGGAGTATGCATGGGCTTTAGAATTATGTTTTGAAGGAGCTGCATGCTTGGACTTGATACATTAGGAAAAAAATACAGGCAGGCCTACATGGTGTAGACAAAGCCTGATGAATACACGGTGCTAAACCATGTGACTGCAAGCAACTCTAATTCAACTCCCCCTGCTGGTTTAACTTTGCTCTTAAAGATCAGAGTTTGACCTCTGAACAGACTTCCAGTTCCCCTGTTTTAAAATGTATTATTATTAATTAAATACTTTATGCAGGGTTTTCCTGAATAGTTGTGTACATATGACAGTAGTCAGTGCTCAAAAGCATAATAGTTACAATTTGGGGCTTAAAGATCCAGAATCATATTAACTAAACCTTTTAGTCTCATCTCGTCACGCACTCACTGGCCACTTTGTTAGGAACACATTGCTAATACTACGTTCCTCTGGTTTTGTGATATTTGGCTCATATTTACTTCATAGATCAGCAACAATGCAGCCATTAGGACATGGGGACACTGTGGTCATAAAGGACACTGACATGTCAGCAACAATACTCATGCAGGCTGTGACCTTTAAACAATCCATCACCCTGAACTGTTGATACAAGGCAGGATGGATCCATGCTTTCATTTTTCAAAATTCTCACCCTACCATGTAAATGTTGCAGAAGACATTAGAATAGGCAATGTTTTTATTATTGCTGTTATTATGTTTTTCCACTCTTCTATTATCCAATTTTGGTGAACTTGTGCAAATTGTAGCTTCAGTTTCTTCTTCTTAGCGGAAAGAAGTGTCACCTGATGTGGTCTTCTGTAGCCCATCTGCTACAAGGTTCAATGTGCTCTCCATTCAGAGATGCTGTTCTGCATACTTTGTAATGCATGGTTATCTGAGTTACTGTTGCCTTCCTATCAACTTAAAGCAGTCTGGGCATTTTGTTCTGGCAACAACATTGTCTCAACATTGCAACAACACTGAGAGCTGCCACTCACTGGATATTCTCCCTTTTTTTCAGAACATCCTCTGTAAACCCCGGAGACGGCTGGGTGGGGAAATGCCAATGTGGAAATGAATAACAATGAAATATTCATGTGAAAATGGCAATAGGATGCAGGAGCTTCAATTAACAGACCACAACTGGCCATTTATTAGAAACATACAAACATACAAAGAAATTATATGACCGCAAAAGTCATTGAATTCCTTGTATGGCAACAACTCCCGTGACTGGAGGCAACCACCAGCTGCAGTCCTAGAAGCAAACAAGGAATTAAAAATCTACACTAAATACAGCCGCTAGAATTACTAAACAAGTCAGTTCTGTGAATGGCGTCTAAAACAATCCTTAAATAAAAGGCAGCCAGTGCTCTGCTCATTTTCTGCCTACAATTAAAAGTAATGTATGAATTAATAAATACAAAACACACCAATACAGAAACAGTAAAGCTTTACAATTATTAAAACTACTCATAAAATATCTGTCATTTCATTTTATCTGGCAAAAGTATTAGTCAGATCTGGAAGTCAGGCAGGAAGCAGGCCCTACAGCTGGCAGCAATCACCTGTGTGACTCACTTGTGATTGGCCCTTCCCTTGCTTGGTGTTCCTAAGCTACACTCAGACCAGCACACCTGGCACCAGGAACTGTACCACATTTAAAGTCTCTTTATTACTTCTGTTTGTTTATTATTAAAATGATCTGAGATTCAGGAAGTGACCTTAAGGCATGCTTTGGATTGTTCATGTGATGTACCAAGTGAACCTGCATCACATGATAGGGCAAGATACCCATTCAACAGTCATATTTTCCCTGCATAAAAAGTTTACTTAAAAGCTATAATAATTAAATGTATTTGAAAAAGGACAGTCACAGTCTTTTAGCGTGGAGAGTACAGCATTCATTTCTGCCTGCAGTGACTTATTGCGTGATGTAACTTTGCCACATCCTGATTTATTGAGTCCTGTGCAGATATTAGTGTTATAAATATCCACCAATGCGCATGAGCATTATCTGACTCTCCCAGCTTTCCATTGTGCATGCTATTGATTTTCTGTGGTTCTGAGCCACGGTTACATTGATGAGGGGAGACCTGCCAGCAGTTATCAACATGCACATGTTGGAAAAATTACAAAGTGGATCACAGCTCTGTGGTATACACCAGAATATTTTGATTGTATTCTCTAACATGTTACTCGATACATGAAAATTTTCTTTGGTGGTTTAACATAACCGCTTGACTGCTTTGTGAAGTCTAATGGTTTTTGTCACTCTATCGGAGTTCAATGTATTTCTCAGTAACTCTGAGTTATTAGATTGTCCATTGCACTGACATAATAGGGACATCCTGATCAATACGTCCACACTTTCTTGTTAACACGCTGCACACTTTTCCTGCACTTCACTGCACTCCTGATGCCAATCGTAGGCAGTAAAAATATCTTTGTAATGAACTCTCACATCTGGAGTGAGTTTTATAGGCTAGCTTGGCCTTTTTAACAGAAGAATTTTCATTTCCCCATCTCTAACACATTAACAGACAAAAAAGAGCATTTTGTGAAATGTATGATACAAGAAGATAACATCTGATACCCACCCACCACCATGCCTTGCAGTCATACAGACTCGCTTCAAAAACAGTTTACCTCACATTTTGTTCCCTTTGCTGTTCCTATTTATGATGAGCCCAGCTGTACGTGCCCCTGTGCACACTGAGCAATGAATGCTGGAAGCCATTGTGTTTTTTTGGCTGGCATAGCAGCTCACATCAGTGACATTAAGGCTTCATTCTATCGCTGTGTCTTCAGGCCATTTCCAAAATAAAGATAGATTCTTGTGATTTTTGAGACTTCTTTGGTGATATATTGAGACAGGAAGACAAAGTTCAAATAATGCAGCGCTGCTTCGATGTCTTGCAGCTTCAGCAGAACAAAACTTGTACAAAAATCCAGAAATATTAAAAAAAAAAAATGAAAGTGAATGAAAACTGCAGTGAAAATTTATGTTTCAGGCTTTTTTTTTTTATGTACACTGCAGAAATGTGTACATGTGGCTTGTATTGATTTTGGAGTTATACTGTACATGCACAGACCAATACATTCCTCATTCAGCTGGTTATTTTTAAATTCAAAAGGTGTCATACAGAGTATTCAATAGAGTTTAATAGAGTTCAAAGTAGCTGCTCGTGGCAGCTTTCCTTTCTGTCATTGGACGGTGCAGGAGTATAAATTGAAATGGGAGTGTGTGTGCTTCACATGTGCCTCCCAGTTCAATTAGAAGGCTCATCACACAAGGGAAGCTTCTGTGAACGTCAGGGCCCGTGGAAGACTGTGAGTACAGCTCTTGTCTCTATGGCAGCTTAGTTAGTCACAAAAAAGCAGCTGAAACAGTTTTTCATCCTCTCGAAACCTGTTGGTTTTTATTACATGTGAGAAATGACACTGATGTCAATGCTGTAATTTTAAGTTTAAATTAAGTTTAAGTAAGTTTATGTTATTTGTTTTCATTCTGGATCTAGATTGCAGTAATCTAGAATAGATCTATGAATTTGTAATCACTGAATGTATATTATAACAGGCATTCTCAGATTTTATAGATGCAAATATGAAGTATTGCTGTGTTCCTGTTATTATGCACACTTTGAATATGATAGAAAAATAAGCAAGACTGAAAGCACAAACCTCCACTAAGGCAGCTCACTCTCTTGGGGTCAACTTCAAAGACAGGCAGATGTGAAATGTAAACGTGAGGTCGGAGGTCAAATGTGACATGACATTTGGATACAAACTGTAATGTAAGAATCCCCATCATATACCAGTTTCATTTCCTTTATTCTGCCAACGCAAACAAAGGCAACAGAATTTTAAGCATAGTCTAAGAGAAAGTTTTATCAAAGTTTTACCTTATTTGGCCTTGAAGAAGTCAGAGGTCCAAAGTAATGTGATATTTAGAATCCTCATATATCATTCACTACATACCAATACCTTATCAGTACAAACAATGACAATAAGAAATATAGTTTAAATAGATCATTATTATCACATTGAAGCAAAGGTTAGAGGTTAAATGTGACATAATATTTTAAATCTTTCTACGGTACAATAAACACCACAATTTTGTTTCTAAGTTATAAGGTTTTTAGTCAATTCTTGACTAATAAATCATTACATTGACCTTGAAGAATTGGTGGATGTAAGCCAAATTTTAATGGACTGCTGACATATCCTACTCTACACCCCTACAATGTTTTATCACAATTCATTGAAAAACCTTTCACATTTATATTAGCAGAGGTAATAATGTGATCAAAGCAGAGGGATTTATATTGTAAAGTTGTAAATAAAGCAAATATTTTCCCAGGAACAGAGTTTGTGCAAGTTTCTGAGGACTCCTGATTGCATTGCCAGCTGATGGAAAAAAATTCAGACCTGTACATCCTCATCAGAACACCAGGGAGATCATAAGTCACAAGGCAGAAATGTGTGATCATCAAGAAAAAGAGCACAAGCACAGAAGACCAGCCGGCTCCAAAGGTCCACATGTGAAGCACCACCATCAAAATCAAGGCCATCAGCGTCACAATAATAAGCAAAGGTCAGATGGCAACGATAGTCATGAGTAAGTCCATCCTTTTTCTAACTGTATGTTAACAGTAATTATTTAAGCATTTCATATAGATTTTGTTTTTATTTTTACAAAATTAATCACACATTAATTAGACCTCACATTAATCATGTGAGGTCTTTTCCATTATCAGTGATGAGAAGTAACCTTTTCACCAATCACGTCATATGCTATCAGAATAGAATTTTTGTTTCTTCTTAAAATTGTCTTGGGGGAATGAATCTCTGGGGTTGGTTGGTAGTTAGGCTAACCAAGTATCAGAATTAATTTACTGTAGACACTGTGCCCTTTAACACCCATGTTTTCTTTTTGAAATAGCACTCATTCTACAGCAGAGGAGAGCATTTTGAGTGATCATCATACCAACCGTCAGCATCAGTCCGAATCTCACCATTACCACCACAAGCAAAACCATCGTCATGTTTCTCTTTCACAAACTTCCTCAAGTTCCTCAAGCCATTCTTCTTCATCCTCTTCATCCTCTTCATCTTCATCGACATCCTCATCTTCCTCTTTGTCCTCCTCTTCTTCTTCCTCCTCCCCTTCCTCTTTCTCTTCCTCTTCTACAACATCTTCCTCTTCTTCTAGTCTGTCTTCTGAGAACAGCAGCAGAAGTGACACTTCAGATAGCAATCCTTTCAGGAAGCCACAGCATTCACAATCCTGGACCGATATCTCTGGAAAACACAAGTACTTTGATGAAGGAGATGATATGGCTCCTTTGATAAATAAACCAGCTAATCTAAATGAGCTGCCCAGCAAACAGAAACAAGAGAAAAGCAAGTCCTCTCGTTGTGGCCCCAAAAAGGGAACCTCAAAAAGCCCTAAGAAAATTGCAAGAAGCTTTGAAAATGATGGAAGTTTCCGCAAGGCCAAATCAATGGAGGCTCTCACCACACCCAAAGACAAAGGACATGGAAATGAGGATGAAAATGAATCGGAGAAGAGGAAAAATGAAGCCAGGAAGAATTTAATGAAAGAAAAAATGAAGTTCTCTGCTTTTCTTAATGAGATTACTCGGCAGGTGCTCAGCCCAATGAGGCTAACCACTCTTGGCGTGACAGATGCGCAACGACCCTGCAGTCCAGGGCAGGCCTCTCTTAGATCCAGGAAGGCGGACAGCAGGACTGACAAACCTAGACAGCAACGAAGCCGGCCCACCAGTGCGGACTCAATTAGCTCCAGCAAATATTCACACTCTTCGCAGTTGTCTCAGTCTAAATCTTTCCACGGTGAAAGTCGCTATTTTGAAGAGTCACCCCATCACATGCATCATAGGCCAAAAAGCTGCACAGAATTCAGCTGTTTTAGAAGACGTCACTCATGGTCTCAATCTCCTGAGCGTCACTCCTATTCTTTTAAGCACTACCATAACCACCACAAAGGAGACCATGAGACTTCTAGTCACCATCACCATCATCATTACCATGGAAATAGCCCAAGTCCTCACCATCATCACAGAAAGGACCACAGTCCTGTTTATCCCCATGGAGATTCACATAGCCATACCTACCACAACAAAGATCACCACTCTGCATCACATCACCATTACCGTGGGCAACATCGACATAGAGAACCCTATAGCCCATCCCATCATCATAGTAATGCACACCATCACCACCATGGCAAGCAATACGGTCATGTTCATCACCATCACCATCATCATGTAGACCACAATAGCCAAGGCCATCACCAAGGAGACCATGATAGTCCAGACCATCACCATCATCACAAAGACCACCATAGTCCAGACCATCACCATCATCACAGAGACCACCATAGTCCAGACCACCCACATCATCACAGAGACCACCATAGTCCAGACCATCACCATCATCACAAAGACCACCATAGTCCAGACCATCACCATCATCACAGAGACCACCATAGTCCAGACCACCCACATCATCACAGAGACCACCATAGTCCAGACCATCACCATCATCACCAAGAAGACCATAGTCCAGACCATCACCATCACCATGGAGACAACCATAGTCCAGACCATCACCATTATCACAAAGACAACCATAGTCCAGACCATCACCATCATCACAGAGACCACCATAGTCCAGACCATCACCATCATCACAGAGACCACCATAGTCCAGACCATCACCATCATCACCAAGAAGACCATAGCCAAGGTCACCACCATCACCATGGAGACAACCATAGTCCAGACCATCACCATCATCACAAAGACCACCATAGTCCAGACCATCACCATCATCATGGGGACCATCACAAGCCAGACCATCACCATCATCACGGAGATCACCATAGCCAAGACCATCACCATCACCATGGGGGCCACCACAGACCAAACCATCACCATCACCATGGGGACCACAATAGCCCAGAACACCAACTTCATCATGGGGACCACCACAGCCCAGTGCATCAGCATCATGGAGACCACCGCAATCTGGGGCATCCCCATCATCATCATGGAGACCGCCACAGTCAAGATCATCATCACCATCATCATAGAGACCACCACTTTTCAGACCATCATCGTCATCATGGAGGCCATCACAGTCCAGAGCATCACTATCGTCACCGTGACCATCATATTTTGAACATTCACCATCAACATGACCACCACAGTCTAGATCATCATCATGATGATGTTGATAGTTCAGGCCATCATCACCATGAAGATCAACATAGGGAATCTCATCAACATCAGCATCATGGAGACCAGCACAATCCAGGCCATTGCGCACAACATGGAGACCACTACAGATCAGGTCATCACCACCATGAATCGCATCCCAACCAGCACCACTCAAGAAACAATGATTTTGACCACGATGACCACCACACTCATTTGAAGGGGCATTCTGCTGGCAGTCCACTGGCACACAGGAAGACGGAGCCTCTTTCCATTAAACCAGAGTCTTCCATGACAACAACAAGCAACCCCAGCAGCCACGAAGAGGAACGAACAAGTTTCATTGGCCCATCATTACAACAAGTATGGCATTATTATACTCACTGAAAATGTTTTCTATTATGATGTGCATACACACAAGTAACTACCAGGATCACATGGCTGCCTGTGTTTTATGTTTTTTATTATCTGGTTATGTAATGATGTTCATCTAATTTCCGTTCATATTGATTTGGGCAACAGCTTACACGTCATGGCAGACAATAGATCTGCAAATGACGTTCACGTGTTAAAGAACAATAGATTAGTTACAGAACAATAGATTAGCTACTAAATACAAACTAATAGCAATCAATTTGACATCCTAGACTAATATTATGTGTTCATCTTTCATTTCATTTCATTTTTCACTTTAGGCCTAACAGAGTACCCGTTGAATGCTTTTTAAAAAAATAATAATTCATGTATTTATTACTTCAACGCAGGAGAAGAAAGAGGAGCTGGGTAGAATCATGTAAGTGCAATGTTATTCATTTGGGTGTTTGGGTATTTGGATGTGTAACATAGAAAATATGGAACTGTTCATTTAAAAAGAAAAACAACGATTTAAAAATAAATGGATCAAAGCTTGACAACTCTTGCTTTTGTCTGTCTGTATTTTAGGATAATACAGGAACAAAATGAAGGTCTGCACCACAGTTTGCTGAAGACAGCTGTGAGGATGGAGTGTTTGGGAGAGGAATTCATGAGTAGCCAAAAGCTGTTGGAGGCGGAACTTCAGAGGACACGCACAGAGCTCAGCAACCTCACAGAGAGGTTTAAGAGGTGAAGAATGCCTTTTCCAGAGACTAACTGCAAATAGTGATAACTGTTATAATGTTTGCTGAGTAAGTCTGTCTCTGCCTTATTTCAGACTACATGATAACTGCTCGTCCACACAGCAGACTAATAATGTTCTGGAGCAAAAGCTTCACTCAGTGGTGAGAAAGCAAGCATGGCTGTACATCTGATGTAAGACATCCATTACTATAAACATATATGTGAGCTATTACATCTTGTTCCCCCATTTTCCTTCTGTTTCAGACTCAAAATATGGAAGAAGAACGACAAAGATTGAACTGTCGTATTTCAGAGCTGACACAGCAGCTTGGTAATGTGAAATTTGGCAACTCTGGCGAAGTGTTCAGTGTAAGCTCTTTGGCATTCTTTCATTTCTAGGTCTGGAAAATATTAGTAACATTTAATTCTGGCATTCCTTGCAAATATCAAAGTAGCGGCTGCTAAGGTTGCAGAAAAAAAAATCTGATTGTTTAGATCAGTGTGGAAAATATCTCTAGGTGCTGCAAGTGAGCTGCAGTAATAAAATTAATTCATTTTGAAATTACTTTCTAGTCACATACAGTTAGATATTTATATAAATGTATTTCATTATATAAAAAATAACTTTAAACTGGTAACAAGGGGGTGGGGGTTAGTTTGTGATATTAATAATTACTCTCACCTAAATGTACCACTCTGGTATTGAAGTTTGTGTCCCAGAGGCAAGTGGGTCACACACTGGCCTAAACACTTGTGTCTGAGTAGGATTAGCAATTTATAACCAACAGCCTGTGTAGTTTATGTTTTTTGAATACAGTTTTCAAATGCATCACTCTTTCTTGTATTTTGATTAGAGTGAGATTTATGATTCGGTAGCCCTGGAATTCTTGGTTTTTAAGCAGGCCCGCAGCACTCTTGATATCAGGAATGGCTTATTGCTCAGGTGGCAGAGCGTCTCAGCCACTAACCAGAAGGTTGGTGGTTCGATTCCAGGCTGCTCCATTCTGCATGCCAAATATCCTTGGGCAAGATACTAACCCCATGTTGCTCTCCGATATATCCATCCGAGTGTTAGATACTTAGCGCTTAAGCTTAGAAGTGCTTGGGTGAATGGATTAGCTGTATAAAGAGCTTTGAGTGCTCGGACAGAGTAGAAAAGCGCTAGATATAAGAATCAGTCCATTTACCGTTTATGGAAAAATACCTAAATTCCCACTGAATTCAATACCCCAATAATAATTTGATATTCTAGTTGTAAGTTTGTTAAATAGATGACAAACCACATGATTTATGGTGTTTCTAGCTTGTGATTGACAAAATGCATATGTATGTGGAGTGTCGTTGGTTTCTCAGTCGGATCCATTCATCCCTTGTGATTTCTGATGTCTGTGAAGATGATATTGACCAAAATGTCAAATTTGAGGTTTCAGAGTCCACATGACATGCAGGTTATATTAGTCTTTTCATACAGTATGAAGTATATAAATATGTTTTTCCTATGTCTTAAATAGTTTAGAGGACAGCGTAGTACTCGGCATTAGTATAATTTTGTTCATACAAAACCTTTGTTTTTCTTTCAATCATATTTCATATTTATTATTTCCAAATTCCATTGAACTGATCAGTTTCTCTTCTCATTTCAGGTGACTTCTGCAATACACAAAAACAACCATCATTTTCAGTCAGATGATACCATTAATCAGGTGGTTCTCCCAATCGCTCCCCCTCCAGTTCAGTTTATGGACAACGATAATTATGGAAAGGTTAAAGCTGCTGGGCAGGAGCAACCTCTAGGGTCAGTCCCAGAGGAGGAGGAATCTGACTGGTCTGAAGTGGGAGAAGAGACCCCACGGCTTATACTGACAGGATCAAACAGGGGTCAGACCTGGAGACACCGGGAAGCAGACCTGGACAGAGACAGCGAGTCAGGAAGTGAGGAAATTCCCAGACCACACTCTCCACGCCCACTGCAAATACCTCATCTTCAGTTCACCTCCCACAGTGACAATTTACCTGCACCACAAACTAGTTCTCGCCCTTCTGGCATGAAGAATCTTTCTGATGACATTACAGGTGAGGGAAGTTACAGGTCCTCTAGTCCAAATCATGGATCTGCCATTCTTATCCGGTCAGCAAGCCTGGAGGAAATTCCTCTGGCATGCCATCACATGCAAAAAGAGCTGAGAGGCACAGAGGCCATGATGGACCTCCGCCATCGAGGGAATGAAGCTACTGAGGATTTAGATAATGAGATCATTCATCATTGGAACACAAGCAACCACAGGGTTATTGGGAGGCCAATAGATAGCAGTATGTCAAAGGCAGAAAGCAGCTTGGCCAGCCTGCAGTCAGCCGAGCGGATGCTAAACCACTTCATATGTGATTCTTACACTACAGAGGGAAGAGAGCAGGACAGGGCTGAAGTACATGGCTGGATAGGAGGGATTCCAGATGAGGTGCTGAAAGGAGAGCGAACAAAGCTGTGACAGTAACATGACTGCACTAAAATCCTAATTTAATGTAGCTGTAGTAGCAAGTTTAATGAATAAGCTCGTTTTAGTGGTTTATGGATTCAGCCACATTAATTTGATGTTTGATGTAATTTAATTTCTGAATTTGAAAAGTAGATTTTATGGATTTACTTTGATAAACTTTCCTACTGTCCAATTGGTGTATTCAATAAAAGCGATGAGTTTCTAGCTTTAAATTATTATAGCTGGCATTTGCTGAAAGTGATTGTTGGTTGATGAATACTATATTATACTATACTATATACTATATATTTTCCACTACTTGGAAAATCCTGTACAGCTTAGATAAACTGATTAATTCATTGTAAAATGTAAATGTGTATTTTTGTTGCATAGATACAAATAGAATGGTCAGCCAAAACCACTGACAGGTGGGCCTCCAAGGCTCCACCACAGAGCCCACATGAGCCAAAGGTTCCACTGCTGAAACAACAAAATAGCCACAGTTCATACTCTGACAGGCCAAATGTGGTTTTGTGGCTAAAGGAGGACATACACAATGTTAGGCAGGTGGTTTTAATGTTGTGGCTGATTACTGCAGTTCCTTTTCTTTTTTCATCATTGCAGAATTTTAAAAAGTCATCATATAAGTTATACTTATTTACATAGCTAGCTACTGTTAGATACTCTTGAATGCTATAAACAACATCAAGCACAATTTAAAACAGTTAAAAAGATTATATTGAACCTGATTTCCTTTCAGTTTATAGTACAATTTAATTATGATAGGCTTGCCTTACATGCTACTGATAATATATATATATACTTATAAATACGGTATTGCTATAGCTTTTAAAATGTGAAAATTATGTTATGTTTGCTGTTTTCCTCATATTACAATATCCTGCCAAAATAAAAGCTTGCAAATGAACAGATTTTACAGTTGTGTCTCTGTCCATGTCACATCTAACTGAAATGAAAAAAACAAACCCAAAACAAAACAGTGAGACACAGTTTCAGCTGTGAATAGAATAGAATAGAATAGAATTCAACTTTAGTGTCATTGTACATGTCACAAGTACAAGGCAACGGAATGCAGTTTGCATCCATCCAGAAAGTGCTTTAGCAATAATATAGATATATTACAGAATATGGATCTATTATTATGTTACAATGTACACGGTATGAAGGTATATTATGAATATACTATAACTATAAGCATGTACAGGCTATAGCTGTAGTAATAATAATAATGGATTGGATTTATATAGCGCTTTTCATGGACCAGTACGGTAGTTATTGGTAGAGCAGAGCAAAGCAAAAAAAAAAAAAAAAAAGTAAATGGACTGGTTCTTATATAGCGCTTTTCCACTCTTCTGAGCACTCAAAGCGCTTTACACAACTTGTGCATTCACCCATTCACACAAGCACAACTGACATTCACACACATTCATACTCCAATGAATGCATCGGAGAGCAATTTCAGGTTAGTATCTTGCCCAAGGATATTTGGCATGCAGACTAGGGGAAGCCGGGAATCGAACCACCAACCTTCCGATCAGTAGATGACCTGCTCTACCACCTGAGCTACAGCCACCCACAGTAAAAATTCAATACTAGCATGACAGCGTGGATACTTTGTTTCTATTATCTAAGTGATGTAATCCACTGAATTGAGTTAAATAAATTATTTTTTGGAAACGAAAAAAATCTATAGATACACCTTAAACATGAAAAACGTCTGAAACTTATAGCATTGCTGTCACATCTATTTTATTTATGGCCTATATCACATTTTAAAGAAAAGCACTTTACATTCCAGGTCTCCAAAAATTACAGTTTCAAAATACAAGAAAAGCTGAAAGGTGTGTTTTGTTGCACTGACTAATAATTGTGGAAAGCAAAAATGTCAATACTTACCCTGTATTTACTTGATCCTGGATTGATACCAAAATTAGTACAACAGTAGTGATACACTTTCAGATGCCTTTTGTGAACTGTAATAAATCATCATCTCACTGTATACATGTTCTGATTAAGAAGGTGGAGACAAATATTCATTGTAGATTTGTTTGCTTACATATAAGAGGAGTTCTGCAAAGTCAGAGCAAATGAAAGAGACCATATTGACCAGAAATATTAATGGAAAATTGGTACCAGTATGGATGAGGAGGTGAGAATGTTTGCCACCTTGGGACCATGCTACTTGGATTCAGAGTATCAG